CAGAGCATCGACTGCGGACCAAAGGGTCCTGGGTTCAATTCCGGTCCAGGGCACATATCTTAGTTGCAGGTTCCTCCCTGGCACTGGCCCTGGTCGGGGTGCATGCAGGAGGCAACCAATTGATGTGTTTCTCTCACATTGATGTTCCTCTCTATCTTTCCCTCTTTCTAAAAGATCAATGGAAAAATATCCTCAGGTGAGGATTAACAAAAAAAAATAAAAAATAAAAAACATTTGGGGAATGAGTATCTAAAAGATCCTTAAAAAATTTCCACTCAAACAGTAGCGCCGTGCAGACACGAGTCTATAAATGTCTGTCCCCATGAGTCACAGGCCACCTTGGGAAATGACTAGCTGCACACCTGGAGCAGGAAGAGCCTGGGTTTGGGTAGGAGGACAGAAAACAAAGTTACTGAAGACTGAAACTGTCTGACAGGATGAGCTTGAGGGAGCTCCCTTGGGCCATACTTGGGACATGTGAACATAAAAAGATTAAAAAATCCATGTGATCTCACACCTCAGATATACACATATATAAAAATATGTGTATGAGTATAATGATATTAAAAAATAAAACAAACCAAACAAGGCTAGAAAGAAAAGGGTATCTTTATTGGAAGAGCAACTGCCGCCATGCCTCTCCCCAAAACTGGACAGCCAAGGGAAACAAGCACCCTGCCTTTCCCCTCAGAATCCTGTCTTCAGGGTAACCCACAGCCCTGCGGATGGGGAAAGCTCTTCTATACAGAAGCCCAGCTAATTCATGTACAATTATTATTGAGAAAGCTTTACTAACTCTACAGAAGGAATTGCTCCAGGCAAGAATCGTCAATGAATATGAGAACATGCACAGGTGGATGAGGAACTCCATGTCCACAAGGTGCTGGTTACCACCCCAGCCTACGCCTTGGTCTGGCAGGAACCAGCTTTACAGTGGGGATCGCTGTCACCGTGGGGACCCGCAACCAGCTGCAGCTTCCCCCTGTGTAAGCAGGTCCTAGACATCTGGATGCAGCAGGGATGCAGGCATCAACTATGAAGGTAACCGAGTCTTTGAAGCCAAGTCCCCTTTGGGAAACACAGGAACACATCCACCAATGCCACAGAAAGGCAATCAGATGCCCAGAAAGTTTTTAGAAAACCCCACTGGCATAAGTTTTGAGAAAATCCAGAGGCAACCTGCGTACTTTCTTCAGTTTCAATGAAAACAGAGGGGACACCATCCTACACAAAGGGTACTAAAAAGACATAAATGATGATGAAAGGCAATTTGTGGGCCTCACTTAGGTCACAAATTTGGGGGACAACTGGAAAGTCTGAATTTGTGGTAGGTGGCTTTGAGCAAGTCTTTTATTTTCTTAAATGTGAAAATGGTATTATCTCATGTAAGAAAATATCTTTATATTTTAGGCTCAATAATCCACGTATTGAGGGTAAACCCTCATATTTGTAGTTCCCTTTATCAGCGTTTAATTTTTAGTGATCTCTGAAATAAGCAATTTATCAAAAAATAAGTATCCAAGGTTTAATAACTGCCACCGCCATTCCTGGGGCACTGTTGGGACTGAGGCATGAAGCTATGGGCACCTGTCACTCTGCCCAGGCCCTCCTCCAGGAGGTGGGTAACCACCATGCTGGGCTGCAAGAGTGTCACTGCAGACCTTGAGACTGAGCGTCCAAGTAAATGAGAAAGGCAATTTATGAAGTAAAGAATCTTGTCTCAATTTACTTGGCTCTTAAGCAAACATTTCCCTGATAAATGTGAGAGAAGCTTATCACTGTGTAAGAAAAAGCAAGTCAACTTATAATCCAACACCATCCAACCTTAAAAACAAAACATCACCTGGCATTACTGGGGTGATAATGCGTAGCATGGAACTGTTTAAGCTGCTCCCATGTGAGGTCTGGGATGCACAATGGGTCACCACCAGAGATCACCGCATACGTGTGGTCAGGAAGGAGGCGGTTCAGAAGGTGCTGTGAGAATATCCTCTCGTTATCTGTCTTCAAATTAAAAAAATACACATATATGTAGCATAGTACACACATTATTACAACACAGCAAGTTAACCACATCCTGGGAGCATGTACCTATAACACCTCACGAGTAAAACCATCCCAATGATAAACAAGGGTGTCCACACACAGTGTTTAACAAAGCACCCGGTTCACTCATGATCTGCGCGCAGGACCCAGGGACTGCGCTCTTGGGAGAGAGGGTGCATCCACTCTGCAGTAGACCCTGAGTGATGAACCACACAGGGGAGGCTGTGGGAAAGATGTCCTGGGCTCCCTCTGCCCACGAGGTGTATGGGCGTTCCCATGGATATCCAGAGGGAAAGCAGTCATCCTAACTTGAGGTTTAATGTGTTTGAAAGAAATGATGCCCAAACCGAGAACTGAAGTTAAGACACAGCCGCCAGCCAGCAAGGGAAAGGGAGCAGCACAGATCACACCAGCCATACCACAGGTCAGGGCAGGTCTCCAAAGTCAGGGGCTAGGACAGGGCCCAGGACAGAGGGTCTCAAACTGTCTGGCCTCAGACCCTTCATTCTCCCAAACATTAGCGAGGTCCCCAAAGAGCTTCTGATGATTTGAGTTTCTTGATCATGTAGAGGTGTGTGTATATAATTTTTCTACATTAGAAATTAAAACTGAAACTGAAAACTATTTAATCATTAACTTAACCCACAAATACATGTTAACCAGTATTTTTAAAAAAATACTTTTCATACAAAACAAAAATCTGTTGAGAAAAATGACTCTGTTTTACATATTTTACAAATCTCTTTAAAGTCCAGCTTCATGGAAGGGAGCTGGCGTCTCTACCTGCTTCTGTGCTGACATCACACACCGTGCACCATGGTCTCGGGGAATTTCCTGCGTGCTCAGCAGGAATGAGGTGGAAAAGATGTCTTACTTCTGTCATGAAAATATTATTTTCTCACAGACCTCCTGCAGATCATATACGGGGTCCCCAGACCACAGAACTGCTCGTCTGGAAGAGCGAGTTCTAGGGTGACCGGGAGCCTGGCCCTTCATTGTTCCGCCAGCTAATAAACCTCACACAATGAGAATATTAAATGACATAACAGGATGTTGATTATTTTCCAAACCTACTTATATTTCAATATTTTACAGAGTACGATGCTTTTAATACAATATAGAAAGGAAAAGAACTCACAAACGCTCCCTTCATCTCATTGAAG